TCTTCCTTCTCATTTACTTGAGCAATTTCTTTTGTTTTCAAGATTCTGAAGCATTGCCAAAGACAGCCACGAAGAAGGGAGCTATAGAGGTGTTTTTTTGGTTTGGTTTTGGTTTTGTGGTGGGTGAAGAATGAGAGATGAGAGGTCATCATTTCAGTAAAAGCCACAAACAAGTTGGATAGCCGCAGTAAAGATCTAGTTGGATTTAGTTTTTAAATTGCAATTTTTGCCAATTAAGGCTAATGCTTAATTTTGGAGCTTTTATATACAATATTTTTGTCATACATCACTATTTTTGCAACCTCTGCTCCAAAGAGTATAATTAGTTTTCGTTAAAGTGAGCTCAATTTCTGAACTCTTAGTGATTCATTTATATACATAGATTTTGTTATCTCATTTCATATTGCACATTCAGGAAAACTTTGTATAAATGAGTGGCTTTTTATTTTCATATTATTAATAATATCATGGTCCCATTACAGGCCTATTAATCTCATAAATTTGTCATTAGTCTTTGAAGAAAAGTATATGTAAATACATATGTGTAATATGAGAATTTCTCTCAAAAGCAGGGCTTAAAATTTTTGTGGAAGTTTGATAAAATATATCATGTGAATTCAGATTTACCTCAATGCTAAGAATTATGTTTAGATTGGAAAAAGGAATTTTATTTTGATCTCAGGTAGAAAAATAGTTATGTGGTTATGTAGCTTTATACAGTTATTAAAAGTTAGAATTTATTCTGCCCTACTAAAAGTGGTTTGGAAAATTAATTTGGTTTAATTATTGATGATTGCACTGTCATTCTTTTAGCTTTGTGTATTGAACTATGTCCAGAATCAAGTTGATGTAAATCCTGAACAGTGTTGTGAGAATCTAATTGGATTTGTCACCTTTATTTAAAAACTAGCCTCTGCACACTTTGAACCTAGGGATATGGATTGGTTTGACCAATAGCCACTGCTTGATTCTCATAATTAAACTTTGTGACTAATTAATGGTATTGTTCTTTAAGATAGGTAACATGTTTCTGTGACTGTTATTTTGTGGACAGTAATTTCATCAGCTGCTGTTTAACAAATTGAATAAAGCAAAGGTCCGTAAGTCAAGAAGCACACCAATGGAAAGCTGCTGTTAGCTCTTTTCCAATTTCTTTTATTTTTTATTTTTTAGTTGTAGTTGGACACAATGACTTTATTTATTTATTTATTTTTTTATGTGGTGCTGAGGATCGAACCCAGGGCCCCACACATACAAGGCGAGTGCTAGATCTACTGCTGTACTATAACCCCAGCCCCTTTTCCAATTTCTATTAGAAATATTAACAGAACTTTCCTTTCTGTGGTGCATTTAATGTAATCATTATTAGTCTCATTCATTTGCACTCACTTTTATCAGTGACTAAACAGATGTTTCTGGGAAAGAACAATCCAATACTGGAAAAGATACAACTAACAGGAATTTTCAAAGGGTGAAGAGGGAGATATTTAAATAAAGCAAGACTCAACTAGGTCCTCCCTCATAAAAGTGCTCCATGTCAGAAAGAGTAGTTTGCCAGGTGAAAGTGAATGTGTAAAGTAAGGTGTAAAACAGTGGAGATTGTACTATACTAAGGGCCCTTCTTAAAAGCACTAAAATTTTTTTTTAAACACTGTTTTGGCTAAAGGAAATAATTTGGAGGATACCACTGTACTGCTCCCACAGTATAATTGGTTTGAAGTGCATGTTAAGGCACCAATTGTCTGGATTTATACTTTAGCTCTTGCTGGCTGTGGTGACTCTAGCCTGTTCCTGTGCCTTAGTTTCCTTTTCTGAATATGAGGATTAATGATTCCTACCTCATAAAATTGCAAAGCATAGAGTTTAATGCCTTTAAAGCCCTTATAATAGTGCTTAGTAAATGTAGGAATTTAATGAATGATAGCTGCTATTTTCTCTAGAATAGAGCTCTTTTTTGGTCAAGGATCCATTTGTGAATTTGATGACAGACAACACAGCCCCTTTCCCCAGAGAACTAAACACATGAATGTGAATCATGCAGATCTTGAAAACCTACTCATAGATCCCAGGTTACAAACTTTTCTACAGCTTCTGCTACTGAGAAAGGTGAGAAGTAAGAGTCCTAGAAATTTGGCCCATAATGAACTAGAAATGGAAGCTATTAACTTAAAGGCCTTTTTGGTTTTCTCCAATAACACCATCTGTGAACATTTTTTCCATTACTTTTTAAAAAAAATATTTATTTTTTAGGTGTAGATGGACACAACACAATGCCTTTATTTTTATGTGGTGCTGAGGATCGAACCCGGGTCCCACCCGAGCTAGGCAAGCACTCTACTGCTGAGCCACAATCGCAGCCCCATCCATTACTTTTTAAAATATTTTTATTTGTTGTTGATGGATCTTTATTTTATATATTTATATGCAGTGCTGAGATTCTTTATTTTATATATTTATTTATATGTAGTGCTGAGATTCGAACCCAGTGCCTAACACATGCTAGGCAAGTGCTCTGACTGAGCCAGAACCCCAGCCCTTTTCCATTACTTTTGAAAGGTTAACACAAGCTCTAGAGTGTGATCACCTGGGTCCAAATTTTGATTAAATCATTTACTAGTTATGTAACCCTAAACATGATATTAATTTATAACTACATAGGAAAAAGAAAAAAACAGTATCTCCTACTGAATTTAATTTTTTAAAAAATTTTAATATTTATTGTTTAGTTTTCAGCGGACACAACATCTTTGTTTGTATGTGGTGCTGAGGATCGAACCCGGGCCGCAAGCATCGAACCCGCGAGCGCGCTACCACTTGAGCCACATCCCCAGCCCCTTAATTTTTTTTTAACAGTAATCTCCTTCAAGTTTCCAGTCTTGTAATGACAGAGATTTTTATCCTTTACCACTGGGCCTATTTTTTTTCTTTATTTAGTTTTAATTTATCCTTTGTTTCCATACTTCAACTCTATATCTTTCTTTCTATGTCACATATGGATTATGAGTCTCCTGTTAAACTCTGTATCTCAAACATGTTATACTCATGTGTACTTAGACTTAACTTTTTAAACTGCTGTTTTCCCATAGGGTTCAGTGGCACATGCCTGTAATCCAGCTACTTGGAAGATTTACAGGAAGGTTGTAAATTCAGGGCCTTCTTCAGCAATTTAGTGAGACCCTCAGCAACTTAGGAAGATTCCATCTCAAAAAAAAAAAAAAAAAAAAAATAGGAATGTTGATATAACTCAGTGGTAGAGTATCTCTGGGTTCAATCCTCAGTGCTTTAAAAAACAAACAAAAATTTAAAAAAAAGCTGTTTGCTTTAGGTTACTCTCTTACTAAAATTCTAGATTATCCCAGTTCATATCAGATACACACACACACATATATATATATGAGATGCATACATATCATACATATCTTGAGATATATGCATATATATATTATATATATCTGATAAAAAATAACTAGGGGATAAGGCATTAGAGATTATCTGATAAAAAATAACTAGGGGATAAGGCATTAGAGATTATCAGATATATATAATATATATGCATATATCTCAAGATATGTATGATATGTACGCATCTCATATATATATATGTGTATGTGTGTGTGTGTGTGTATCTGATATGAACTGGGATAATCTAGAATTTTAGTAAGAGTTATTTTTTATCTTTTTAATGGCAGTTTTAAGCCCATTCCTAAACAACTTAAATTTTAGTTTTATGCCTTATAGATGAGATAAATAGTATGATTTATTGATTACTTACTTTGTCATAGGCACTATACCAAGTGCTTTTATGTATTTTATAACATACTTGAGAATTAGAAGGTATTACCCATATTTACAGGAGAGTAAATTGCTCAAAAAGCTAATAAATGGCAGCCTTTTATGGATTCAAATCTGAATCGTTCTGACTCCAAGGCCCATGATCTTATTCAATATACTACTGACTTCCAAGCCAAGCTCTAAAAAATGTAAGTGACTTAGGGCTGGTAGCCAAGATAGAATCAGGATCTCTGACTATAAATCAGACTACTTTTAGTTCATATTTTAGTCTAAGTCTTGCTCACTATTAACTCTGGGTATATTACTTTATAAATTCTCTGACCTCAAGTGGTTTAGTCTAGCAAGAAAGATAAATATAGAATGTGAGAAGTGCTATAGTAGCAGATGGAAGGAACAGTTAATTAGATTTAGAGAAGAGGCTTAGACATAGGGAAGAAGGAGCATAATAGGGGCATTCCTGACAGAGCAAACAACATAAAGGCAAAGGAGAGAATGCAGCATGGGTTTAAGGAGCAGAATGATCTGATATGATCGGATAGGCAAATGAGAGTAAAGAGAGGGTATCTGAAAATAAAGTATCCAAATTGTGAAGGGTGGTAGTCACTGATTCTTACAGGGGTGGAGAATGCTAATCATTAAATGGATACATTTAACTTGTTAAAAATTTAAAGTATTTAGAGAAAAGTTAATCATTCAATGGATCAGTAAGAATAATAAACATTAAGGTTTAGGGGTTTGTCAGTGGGGAACAGCTCCTCAATTGATACTGATAAATTGGCAACCCCTATCTGAGAAGGAGAAAATAACATGGGAAATAGAGAATACCCAGACCAAATTTAAAGTCAGAGACATTGCCCCATAAATAGTAAGCTCTTATGATTTCTTGCCTTTAAGCAAGGTTTAACCATTACTGAGAACTGCCAATATATCCATGGAGGGGAAAATGACCAAAATAGTAGTTGTTCAAATGTTCATGTCATTGACAATCTGAAATCTGCTACTTTTATACTTTCAGGTTCTGTTAATAAGCATGGTTCTAGTACCCCCAAATGTTAATTATCAGTCACATAAAGGCATTTCATTACTTAAGAAACCTGAACAAGAACATGAAACATTTCTCCCTAATTTACTTTCAGAGAACAAATGACCCTTTACATTTTAAAGTTGTCTTCTTCCTTTAAAGAATTAAACTTGTTTCCAGTCAAAGATCATTAAAAATTCTTTATTTAGTATATTCTCTCATTCAGAGAATAAACTTGATAAACATAACTTGTTTTAAAATATTGTAGCAATGGTTTCTTAAAGATAATTTGATTAGTAGAGTTATGAATACAAAAAGGGGAAAGATTACAGAAATAAGACATAATTTTTAACAAAGCTTCAGGAAAATCTTGATTATTGAAATCATTTTTAAATCATATAAGTGTTGCATATACATTTTTAGCTCTTCAGAGCCCTCGACCAATAAGGCACATGCAATAGTAAAGGATTTGCTACTGCAGCCTTGGGGAACCTCTCTTAGTGTTGTGTTGGTGCTTCTCTGACAAAGCACACTTGAACCAAGACAAATAGTCATATTTATGTGCATCCTAAATTCTAAGTATAGACAACTAAACTGATGGACTAGAATAAAACAATAAATCCTTAGAGTAACCATAGCAACTCACAAATATGAATTTGATAAAAATATAAAGTGTTAACACCTAGGTGGAATGACAACTGACTTTTATGGAAGTTCACACTTTGAAACTAAACATAATCTCAAGCTGTGGTGTGGAGCTATTCTGTTACCAGGCAGCACCTCCTCACCATATAAATAGCAACTAGCTACTGGTTTCTTAAAGCCAAACTAATGATGGTTTTGAAGATAAGCATTGTCCATTGCCCTATCCATGAGTCAAAATGGAGGACTCTTCCTGTCTCCTTTTTCTTTTAGCTTGTTTGAGATAGCCCTGAAAAGGAAAAGAGATCATTGAGCGAAACAATCTCCTGGAGTGTCATCTCCTTACTGCAGATATCCTTGACAACAAGAGTCTTAGCTTCAGCCAGATTCCAACAGAGTTTCCATATCATTGTCCTGTAAGGTTCCCATGGTCCTGGAGAACATCATGCAAACTTCTTCTTGGTGGCTGTGAACCTCTCCATGTACTAAAAGTCATGAAAGAATAATATATATATATATATATATATATATATATATTTATATATATATATATAAAAATATAAATATATATATATATGGTATTTTGGCATAAGTAAATATAAGTTTATCTGTTACTTAGGTTTCTACATGCTCCCCCCACCCTGCAATTTTGTCTTTTATTGGATTTGGTCCATTTCCTATTAAACCTACCTAATAATTTAAAGCACATGGTTTAAGTTCTAATTTTTTTTTTTTGTATTTTAATATGAAACATATCAGAAAATGATTTGCAATAAGCTGTCTATAAAGAAAGCCATTTTGGCACAATATCATTTTGCCAATTCTTAGAACCACCCTCAAAATTGGGAAGAACAAAATATTCATGTGGGTTACCTCAGCATTCTCTGGGTTAGTAACTAGAAATGCAGAAGTATGCTACCACACAAATAAATACCTTATCATAGCCTTCTAGTTCTCGAAGTTTCTTTATTTCAAAAAGATTGCCTTCCACAGCAAGCAGACAGATCTGTGAGTCACTGAGGATGCTCTGTGGAAGCATGCTGAGCTCAAGACAGTTCTCTTCCAGGCGAAGAACTTTAAGGCGAGGACAGCAAGATATCTTTACTGAGATCTGAGATATCTATTGAATAACAAAACAATAATAGGAAAAAGCACAAGCCCTCTAATGGTTACTTTTTACATTACAAAAACAAAAACCTTGTTATTTGTCCCAGTTCTTTTACCACCTCCATTTTCTCACTACCTACTCACTACAGAAGCCTCAGTTACAGACCTTCTGTTACTAGTCCTCCACTTTAAAAATAAAATGCTTTTTTGAAGTTACCAGTGGCTTTTTGAGAATTAACACAAATTTAAACAAAAAAGTTACCTGTAATCTGCCAACCTTTTATGTGTAAAAATATACCAACTACTTTATTGCCAAAGCCAAGAATCCATCATTTTCTATTGCATTTGACTTTTCCACTTCTTGTACATAAGTACTTGGTTTTTCTTACTATCTTTTGAATTATTCCTGATTATTGGTTTCCCTTTTTCCTTATGGACATTTTCAAGCAGCAGTCCCTAATACTTTATATTTCATATTCTCTTTCAACTTTTTCCTAGGAAGTTCATTGTGTGTGTGCGTGCATGTGTGTGTGTGTGTGTGTTGCTGGGGATTAAACCCAGGAACTTGTGCATGTGAGGCAGGCACTCTACCAACTGAGCTATATCGCCAGCCCAGGAAGTTCATTTTTGAAGTCCTCACTTAATATATAAATGTTTTTTTCTACATACATATTTACTCATCTCTATTCTACTTTTGTTTCCCACTTTCAGGAAAGCATTTCTTGTTAAATGATTCACCATAATCAACCCAGCATGTCCACTCAATTATACCACTATTCCTTTAGGCCCTCAAACTCAATACCAAACAATTGTCTTTGACTCATTCACTGTTTAGCTCATCAAATACTCAAATTAATCAAATTTCATAGGGCTGGCACATGCTAGGCAAGTGCTCTACCACTGAGCTACATCTAGCCCAAGTCACCAAATTCTATTGACTACTTGGTATTTCAGGCCATCACCTGGATCATTGAGCGAAACAACCTCCTTAGATCTCATCCCATCCTTCATAAATCAGAAACACTAAGGATAAAGGCCCAGTGATATCGTTAAACAAGCTCCCCAGGTTACTCTATATATACTAAAGTCAGTGGGTCTAAGGCATTATCTAAGGCATCAGCAGAGGTCAATGTGTAGCAAGTCCTCAACTAATACCTATAGTTTAACTGATATTTTCCCCATAATCTCAAGGAAAAGGTGAGATGATCTCAAAGAACGAAATTCATGAGTTGCTTAGCCCCTCACTTTTGCTGAGGCTAGCTTTGAACTCAAGATCCTCCTGCCTCACCCTTCAGAGCCTCTGGGATTACAGGTGTGTGCCACCCGCCTGGCACCATCCCTCTTTAAAAAAAAAAAAATTTTTTTTTTTTTGAGATAAGGTCTTGCTAAGTTGCCAAAATGGTCACAAACTTGTGATCCTCCTGCCTCAGGCTCCTGAGTTGCTGGGATTACAGGCATATGCCAACACATCTGGCTAGTAGTTTGACTTTTGAAATTACCCTTACCCTGTTACCTGCTACGCACTCCCCAAAAAGCCTAGACAGCAAACACACCCAGTGTTAGTCCCCACTAACTCCATGGCACTTTGGGCTTTGAAACTGGTTCGGTTTATAGTATATATCTCTCATCTAGCCTTTGATAGTCAATTCCATGATCACAGTTTTGTGAATAACAGTTTATTAGGAGACCATAAACCCAAACATATGCTAGAAAAAAAACCCTAAAGTTCTAGACCTGGTTCTGGTTGAGATTGAGTTCGATGACCTGCAGCTCCCCCACGATGTCAGGTATACTCCGAATCTGGTTCTTAGAGAGATCTACCACATCTAGGTGCCGTAGGCTACAAAGTTGGGGTGGTAGTGCTCCCAGCTGGTTCCCAGAAAGGCTCAAGGTCTTGAGGGCAGAAAGCTGCCCAAAGGTAGATGGCAGCTCTCTCAGGTGATTGTTGTTTAGGCTTAGAGTGTCTAGTTTTTTCAGATTGCATAATTCATCAGGTAGAATATCTAGCAAAGAAAAAAATTAAAAACCTGAATCTGATAGAGCTGAAAAAACACGTTTGATAAAGATTACAAAGACTATATCAGTCTGCTTCACTTCTTGTTAAAACACAGAATTCCCACATGCACCACTTTTAGGTATTAAATTTTACCAACATGGTCTTCAGAAGATGAGTGTGCCATCAATATGCAGGAGCATTCCTGAATACAATGGGCTCCTTTTAGAAAGGGGATGAGGCACAATTCGACAACAATTTTGTGAGTTTTTGGAACAGCCTCCCTTTCCCATTCCATTTTCCCTTTTAAATGAGCTATTTTGCTTACATCACATCCCAAAGATCAATCATCATATAACCCAAGAAACCTTGCAGTGGAGGTAGAAAGTTTCAAGGACTCTTGTCATTCTGCATCGTGAACCCTCTGAACAGTTTCATAATGACGACAAAAAAATCATCTTGTAAGAGAAATCCACCCTTTTTAACTTCTGATCACTAATAAAAACTTCCCAGGAGCAAAAGCCATACTCAGTTTGTTGTTGTTCAGGGAGAGGCTCTTCAGCAAAGTGAACTTCCCTATCAGCAGAGGCGGTAGGCTCTCTATCTTGTTGTTGGACAAGTCTATGGTCCTAAGGTTGCTTGTCAGTTTCTGCAAATCTGAGGGGAACTGAAGAAAGGGTTCATAGCGTTAAGAAGCCCTCACGGATTAGCTTCTCCGCCCCCGCCGTCCCTCTCCCTGTAAATTCCCTGGTTTTATCTCTCCCATTCTCACCTCGGTCAGCCCACGGTCCTTAAGCTGAAAGACACCAGTTTTCTGCGCCGTTTCTACGTGAGCGCGGAGGGCACTATTTCCCATCCTATCACCAAGACTCTGGTACCTGAGGGAAGGAAGCGCAGCGATCAGTGATCAACCTAGGCACACAGTCACCCCGTCAACCTCCTTTTGGGTCTCCGGCCCCAGCTGTCACCTCCAGCCGATCCCAGGATTCTGGGAGCCAGCCCGAGTGGCAAGGAAGAAAGAAAAACAGACCACCAAGTTCTGCTGCTTTTGCAACTGTGCTAAGGCCAGGCGCTCCTGAGAGCCTCTGGAGAACTAGGGACCCCGGGACTCACTTCCTACAGCTCAGTAGGAAGAAGTCCCGGCTGGTGGAGACCAGAGACCCACGCTAGCCTGGGATGCGCTCCCAGGGCTTCCGCCCGGGCGGGAACGCCCTGTGATGTCATCGACCCGCGCCGAGCGTTCGTCGCGCTTTCGGCTCACTCCTGGCGCCAAGCGGGGAGGTGTGTTAGAATCATGGCTGCTGCCAACGCTTGGGACCCGGCTTCCGCGCCGAACTCCGCAGGGCTACTGTTGGGCCACTTCGTGGCTTCAGGGTTGGTCACTCAGGTGAGTGGGGCAACAATGGCGTCATCAAAGCGGGGATGGCCATGGTGGCGACAGAATTTGGCTGTGAGGTGGTTGATGGTACTTACTGCGGGAGTGTTGAGGGTGCTGATTGGGGTGTATACCAGGATAAAGGCTGATTGATAGAGCCTCTTCTAGTTTGCAGCCGTGGCTTTAGTGCTGTGGATTCTTCGTAAACAGGGATCTGAGTAGGTGCCGGCAAATTATGTCAAGCCAGATTACGGCGGATAGAACAGTGTTGTCCTGTTTATTTTCATCCAGTGATACCGCCTCTAGAGTGTAGTATGCGGTGGGGTTGAGAAATAATGGTAGATAGTTAAAAGTAAACATTCCCAATATGTATATTTACAGGAAGTATTGAAGCAAATTTGGGGCAGGAGAGGTTGAGTACAGAGGAGCCCCAAGGGAAGTTAATTTGGGGTATCTTTTAAGGAAAAAAAAAACAACAGCATTTGGTGGAAAAGACATAAAGGATTTTGGAACATGAGTGGAGGAAGGGATTAATTTTGAGGAAAGAAGGGAGATTAGTCCAAGAAATGATGATTTTAGGTTGGGCAAGAAGAGCATGTTCACAGCCCCGGGAGAAGGAGCCAGGAGAGGAAGAAATTGAACATGTGAGGGAATAATAGAATACAGGTGACAGAGGAGAATGAGACAAGTGGGAACAAGTGAATTGAAATTGAGCGAAGGAAACTTTGATATAAAAAGGAATTTCACTAAAAAGAGCTTTGAGCCAGGAGCGGTGGGGCACTCCTGTAATCCTTTTGGTTTGGAAGGCTGAAGCTTTGAACCTCAGCAAAACTGAAGTGTTAAGCAACTCAATGAGACTCTGTCTCTAAATAAAATACAAACTAGGGCTGGGGATGTGGCTCAGTGGTCGAGTGCCCCTGAATTCAATCCCTGATACAAAAGAGGTGGGGGGAGAGAAAAGCTAAAAAGATAAATACATCTGCAGAAAAATAGCAATAAATACAAACATGATGGAAGATATATGGAAAATCTCTCTCTTTCTCTTTTTAAATTCCATACTGGGTCTTGAACCCAGGAGCAGTCTACCTTTCAGCTACATCACCAGTCCTTTTTCAAAATTTTATTTTGAGTCAGGATCAAGTTTCCCTGACTGGCCTCAAATTTGCTACTCTCCTGCCTTAGCCTTCTGAGAAGCTGAGATTGCAGGTCTGTGACACTATGCCCAGTTAAAATATACAACTTTTTGTATTTAAAAGATTTGTTAGAGATTTCTGATACCTTAAGGTGATTTGTTTGGTTGGTTGTTTTTGAAATGCTGGGAATCAAACCCAGGGCCTTTTTGTTGCTAGCAAGCATTCTATCACTGAACTACATCCCCAGGATCTAATTCTTTTAAATTAAGAAACTAAATTCTAAAAGACCAAGAAATTTGTCTGAGGTCATTCAACCAAGAAGGCAGAATTAGATCCCAGAGCTCTCCCTTTTCCTTTACTTTATATCAGTTCTTAAGATAAACTGTGATAAAATATTGTGATACTTCTTGAATAAATTTTTTTTTCCCCTTCTGTACAGGGATTGAACCCAGGGGTGCTGTACCACTGTGTTTTATCCTCAGCCTTTTTAATTTTTTCTTTTGAGACACAATCACGCTAAGTTGTCTATGCTCGCCTCCAATTTACAATATTTTTCTCTCATCCTCCCGAATGTCAGGGATTATAGATGTATGCCACTGCACCCAGCTTCTTGAAAGATTTTAAAACTTATGTTAAGACCCAGTGTTGTGTTTGAGGGTTTTAGGTAGTGTGAGTACACCAGCTGTTGCAGGGACCAACACAGTACTCCACAGTTTAACCCTTTCTTGCTTCTCTCCATCTTTTCTTCCTACCAGTTTGCCTACTACTCTCACTTGAGTTGTCCAGTTCTTCTGTCACAAAATACTTTGGTAAACTCATAAGACATTTGAAACTTAATATCCTTCTAGAAAAGAAAATGTGGGATAGGAGATATGACTGTCTATACCGAGAGAGTAAGTTGCTATTGAGAGAATTTTTTTAAATATTTTTTTAGTTGGATAAGGACACAATACCTTTATTTTATTCATTTATTTTTATGTGGTGCTGAGGATCGAACTCTACTACTGAGCCACAACTCCAGCCCTGAAAAAGTTTTTTTTATTAGAACGATTTAAACTGATTTGTCATATGATCTCTTTAAACAGTCCATCCTGGGGCTTGGGGTTATGGCTCAGTGATAGAGTACTTGCTTAGCATGTGTAATCCTCAGCACCACATAAAAATAAATAAATAAATAAATGGTTAGAAACAAAATAATCCACTCATGCATCATTCATGTTCATTAAAAATTAAGAGTGATGGGCTGTGGTATATGTAGCCCTGTGGTAGAGAGCTTGCCTAGTATTCCTGAGACCCTTGATTCAGTCCCTAGCACCACACACAAATTCGCACACACAGATTAAGAGTGGTTCCTAAAATTTCTTGTAGAAAACATGTTTGAACTTTGTTCTGTTTTGATCTATCCAAGAAGAATGATTTGATGAAAGAAAGGTATGGTCAACTTTTGTAGCATACTGGGGTATTTCCTTTACTTTATGCCCCTAGGGCTGCTTTACATTCTAGATATTTTTCCAGCAATCTTTAGTTAGTAAGAGTCTTGATCAAGGCTTCTTCTGTTGGCAGTATAGGAGGATCTGGTCCTAAGAACTCTTTATAATGTACCACTAATCTCTTTTCTCAATCTGTGTCCTGCCTTTCTCTGTTTCCCAACCCCTATTTGATAGCCTCTGCTCTTAACTTTTTACTACACTGGCTCCCTTTTAATGCTCCTCAACTGAAATACAGCATGAAGAGGAAAAAAAAAAGAAAGAAAGAAAAAAAAAGGAGAAAAAAAGAAAAGAAAGGTAACCCCTAGGTTACAAGTTTATACATACAAATGTACACAATGTTTGAACCCAGGGATTCACACATGCTAAGCATGCACTCTACCACTGAGCTACACCCTCAGCCCCAAAGATCTTAAATTAAGCATAAAGTTCCCATATTTCAGCTTCCTGTGCCTAGTAACAAAGTAAACAATAACACTGTAAATATACTCCTTTTTCTTAGGATCATTTCATTTTCAGGGTCCTTTTGCCCCAGTGACGTGTAAAGTATGTAATATAGCAATAACTAAAGGCACAGACTTCTGTGTAGTTGTGATTTTTATTTTCTTGGAATGTTTTGAATTTGAATTTGACTGCTCTTTCTTTCTTTTTTTACCCACTTCTTTTTTTTTTTTAAAGAGAGAGATAATTTTTTAATATTTATTTTCTAGTTTTTGGTGGACACAACGTCTTTATTTTATTTGTATGTGGTGCTGAGCATTGAACCCAGTGCCCCGCGCATGCCAGGCGAGTGCACTACCGCTTGAGCCACATCCCCAGCCCTGTTACCCACTTAAACATTCTTATTTTCACTCTGGTTTCTCTTGCATCTTATTAGCTAAGCATCATTACCCTATTGTTGAATCAAAGAGTTTACTAGTTTGCCAAATGTGCAACTAAGCTTAGTGTATACACATGGAATGTTGGAGATATGCCAGAGAGTTAGTAGGTTACATGATATAGCATGTTTTACTTTCATTTACTTTCTTCTACCTAAGAGAGAGTGTAAAGAAAAAGTAAGAGATAGTGAATTAGATGTGTTCTCATTTCTGTTCTGACACACATTGTCAATGTGAAGTTGGACTAATACTTAATCTCCCTGGTCCTCAATTTTGCCACCAATAGAATACCTTGTGTTATCTGCCTCAGTTAATGGCATAACTATCTTTACAGCCACCTGAAACAGAATCACTGGAGTCAAACAATGATTAACTCTTTAATCATTGACTTTAATTCTCATTCACCATATCAACTAGGACTTGTCAGTTTCATTTTGACAGGTACTCTTATCTCTGTCTTCCCTTTCCTTTTAAACAGCTACAGACCTAGCTCACATTCTCATGATCTTACCTGGAATACTATAGCAGTTACCTGTTTAAATATTCAACCTTATGCCCATCTCTCTACCTGTATTTTTGTTTTATATTGATGGCCAACTGTAGGGATTTCCTTTTTCCCTCTCTTTCTGTGTAAAATATACATAACTTTTATTAATTTAACTTTTTTCTTAAATATTTTTATTAGTTCCTTATAGTTATGCATAATAGTGTACATATAACTTTTGACATAATTTTACATGAATGGAATTTAATTTGCTCTGTTTCAGTCTCCAGTCCTTCTTCTTTCCCTCCTTTCTTCCTCCCCTTATTTTCCTTCCTCTACTTGACTGGTCTTCCTTCTATTTATTTTTTTAATTGATGCTTTGTACGTATACATAAAGGTAGAATTCACTGTGATATATTTGTATGTGTACAAAAGTCAAATTCATTCTTTATTTCCTCCCTTTTACCATCCCTCCTCTCTCTCCTCAATCTCCTTCCTCTATTCCACCGATCTTCCTTTTATTTTCATGAGATCTGATGCTTTTCATGGTTTCCTTTGCTGTGCAGAGACTTTTTAATTTGTGCCATCCCACTTATTGATTCTTGGTTATATTTCTTGAGCTTTAGGGTTCTTGTTAAGGAATCACTATGCCACTATGTTGGATTTTTGACCTTTTATTTTCTTCTAGGAGTTGCAAAATTTCTGATCTGATTCCTAAGTCTGATCCACTTTCATTTGACTCTTATGCAGGATCTAGTTTCATTCTTCTACATATGGGTATTACTGGGGATTGAACCCAGATCCTCGCACATGCTAAACAAGCCAAGCATTCTACCACTGAGCTACGCCCCCAGCCCTTTGAA